CCTAACTCCCCCAAAGCCCCTACTCTCCTTGAGAGGACAGCCCCTCCAGGTGGAGAGGAAGAGCCAGCCTTGCCTCTCAGCCACATGGTGATCACGGAGCCCAGTTGCACTGGGGGCAGGGGTGAAGCCTGGGCAAGTCAGTCTCCTTGTCTTAAAAGGGCCAGGCTTTCAGGTTGTGGCACTTTGCAACAGATTTTGGGTTTCTCTGATCCACTTCTCTCCTGTCTCTGTTCCCTTTTGCCCATCGTCTGCAATCATTTTCTTATTTCAATTCCTAAGCTGCTTATAATAAACAATTGAATATCAGTTTTAAGTTTATTAAATCATTATTTCTAGCAAGGCAAGCACATCAAGATATGACCGTAAGGGACTTAGGTCCAACCATTAGAGATTATATTTCTGAACAGCATTGGCCTCCACGGTTTAGATTGTTTTGTCAGATTGCACTTTGGTCCATAGTAAAACCTGTTACAGTCTCAGGAAACTTTCACTGTTGTCTGTTACATACGACCTGTTACATAAAGATCTCCAAGAGGATACTGTTCATTCCTCTAGTGTCCTTTTGAGGACCATAAAGAGAAATTTTTGCCTTAGTAAGTTGAATCTATAGTGGAGCGTGTGAGGTATTAACCTCAACAAATATAGAACAAAATTATCAGAAACTAAATGAGGTAACTTCCACCTGTTTTCCCCTCATTTCTCTGATTGCATAGACTGGAATCCTCAAGATCAGTGTTCACTTCTCTCTTTCATTCGCTATTTCCACTTCTGTGCATAATATTTCTCTATCATATCCCTCAAACCCACTCTCTCTCCCCCTTTCTACTCTTTCTTTGACCAGGAATTTCAGGTTGGCTTTTTAATTTTTTTACTCCAAACTATCACTGATATTTCCTGAAGGAATAGCTTTAATCATATCTGCCTCCTATTCACATGTCTTCAACAAACCCCCATCATTGAGGATTCCAGATGCTTTAGTATGGTATTCAAAGCCCTCCATAACAAGGGGGCTTGTGTGTATAAACCACAACCTGGCATATGTACAATTAACTTCAGCCTAAAGCTGCATTGCATCCTTGTATATTTTAAGTTTGACCTAACATTTTCATCATACATAGTGAACTATAACCTAACAGGATATGTAAACAGATTATAACAGCCAATATACAGAAGCCATAGCCGTACTTCAACTACTCACAGGTGGCAAATGGCTCAGGCTCATATTTAAACCAGGCCCCAAAAAGGCAAACACCAAGCTGTAACAATCAGGCTGCTTCTGCATCTTACTTTTGTTTTCTGTACATCACTTTCCCTTTTCTGTCCATAAATCCTCTCCAACCACTTGGTGGGTCCTGACTTGCTCTGAACCTATTCTGGATCTGAGGGCTGCCTAATTTACCAGTTGTTCTTTGCTAACCTAAACTCTTAAATTTGCCTAAAGCTTTTAACACATGTAAACTGTATGCTACAAGCAATTAAATCACTACTCAAAAAACAAACTACCTTCCAACTTGGCTCCTTTAGTACACTGGTTACGGCACCAGCCACATGCACCCAGGCCGGCGAATTTGAGCCCGGCCTGGGCCAGCTAAACAATGACAACTGCAACAAAAAAAATTAGCTAGACCCAGCTACTTGGGAGGCTGAAGCAAGAGAATCACTTAAGCCCAAGAGTTTGAGAGGTCACTGTGAGCTATGATGCCACAGCACTCTACCGAGGGCAACATA